TTCATTTTTAAGTATTTTTTTATATTTCAGGTGTTTGTTATCAGAGGATTATTTGGGGCCCAATCTCTGTAACAGATGCTAAAGTATGATAATCTGTATTAAATTGGAGTCTCAAAAATGGACTATATTAATCAAGAAATATAAATAAATGGGACAGGGTAAAACAAGTTTTTTTCAGCATTATTAGTTGGACACACTGAGAAATGCATCTTGCTTGAGTTTCTTCTGCACCTTCTACTTTTTAAACCTCTTGAAGTGGGAGGAGCTCAGGGAATAGATGGAGGAGGAAAATGGCTAAAGGAAAACCAAGAACGGAAGAGATATGGGAAGAACAATGAGAATAATGATAATGTGTCATGTTTTCCACTGAGAATGTTGGTGAGACACCAAGTTTTAGAGATGTCTTAAGTTTCTGGTTTTATTTGTGTTTTTAATGTTGAAGCCATTATTTATAGCCCTTAAGCTTTGTGTATGTGTTTCAGTATTCACAAACTTGGTGGATTAATAGTAATGAGATTTTTACACTTTCCCTCATTCCAGGTCCTGGCAAAACTGGCTTGTGGACTAAACAAGCCGAACCGCCAGACCCTGGTCTCACACGGGTCAGTCCCACAGCTGTTTAGCCAAATGCCCATTCGCAAAATGTAAGTATTCAGGGAGCACCTTAAATTTCACTCATGTCCATGTAAAGACACTCTGGTTGTAGTTTCTTTTGTTCCTCATGAAGGACTGGAGCCAGGAAAAATAGGTACTGGGCAGTTAGAAGGGCAGCAACACAGAAAATTTTGTAAAGCACACTGAGACTTTTTCTTTTCTTTTTTTCTTCTCTCTTTTTTTAATCACTGCCTGCTATGTGATGAGAGACTTTTGTCTTAATGAACTTTCAGTTCTGTATTATCTATGGCAGGTATTGAATCCTGAATTTTAAAATATGAACCAAGTTTTAGCTATATGTTTAACTTCCCTCTAGACGTTTTATTCAAGTCTGTTATTAAATAACAAATCAATAGCAATTTTACTTCTTTTCTTTTCTCTAATTTCAAGTCAAGATGTTCAGGGCTGCTGAATTGCTCCCAAAGTAGGCATTAGAGAAGAAGCCAAATCGAATGAATAACTAGGTTGTGCCTGCCAATCGTCTGTCCTTGACAAGGGCTTATAATATTGTTTTTCGTTTGTTTTGTTTTAGGTTGGTTTTTTTTTTTTTTTTGAGACAGAGTCTTGCTCTGTCACCCTGGGTAGAGTGCAGAGTGCAGTGGCGTTGTCATAAGCTCACAGCAACCTTAAACTCCTGGGCTCAAGCAATCTTCCTGCCTCAGCCTCTTGAGTAGCTGGGACTACAGGTACACATCACAATGCCCGGCTAATTTTTTTCTATTTTTAGTAGAGATAGGGTCTCACTCTTGGTCAGGCTGGTCTTGAACTCCTGAGCTCATGCAGGCCTCCTGCCTCAGCCTCCCAGAGTACTAGGATTACAGGCATGATCCACTGTGCTTGGCCGCTTAGAATATTGTTGAAGGGACAAGATATAACGGTTCAAAGCAACAGTAAAAGTGCTATCACAAGACTGCATATGAGTAATTGCTAAATGAAGTGTGTAAGTAGTTACCAAAGTTCACAAAAGAAGAGAGTAATGTGAGAATTTATAAAATAGGCATGGAATTTTGTTTTGAGGTTTGGCACAATTTGGAGAGTCAGACAAGAATAGTAAAACAATACTGATTTGGAGAATGTTTTAGCACAAAGAGCGGAAAGTATATGGTGTTTTCAGTGAATTGGGACATACAGTAGTTTAGCTGGACCATATCGAGAAGATAAGTAATGGAAATAGACTAAAAAGATGGGTTAAGGACAGATTATAAGGAACCTCAAAGGCCAGGCTAAAGAAATTTGACCATATTTTTAAGTATAGGTTTATATTTGTAGGTTACTTTTTTTTTCTTTTTTGAGACAAGGTCTTGCTCTGTTGCCCAGGCTAAAGTACAGTGGCATCATCGTAGCTCACAGGAACCTCAAACTCCTGGGCTCAAGCCATCCTCCTGCCTCAGCC